ACACGGTAGATGACCTTGGTTTACTGTGCTCAAACATTCATATTGAGCTGAGGGAACGCGAGTCCAAGAATCGTGTGGTGAACAGATCCAATCGCGTGTCGCTAATTGCTACACTCCCCCCCTCCGTTCTCTCTCTCTCTCTCTCTCTCTCTGTGCCTAACCATAACTCCGTTTCGTGTGCGCCTCAGTGGTCAGTTGGATTTTGACCGATCGTTGAAAGGGGTCGCCTAGCGTGTGCGTTCATACATCGCCCTCGGGATAAACGGTTTTCTTTCCTACCCCGGGGGGACGGGGGGGGAGTTCATTGATCTGGAACAGGATGGGAATTCCTATCATGTCCTAGCAATCGAAATCATGACTACCTAAGATCTAATTTTAACCCGACTCTTACAACCTCTCTCGCCCGCCCCCCCCCCCNGAACAGGAAGTTTGCATGGAAATGATTGTGTCAATCTGATCGATCGATCGATAAGAATGTTCACCATATCATAATCAAGATCTCTTCATCAAACCTGAATTGCCTATGCAAAACAGGTTGAACAGAAAGTTGATTCTGATTTTGGAAACCTTATATTCACCATCCGATTTACATTAACTCAAAGTAAAGCTCAAGCCTAACCACCTTTCAGTTTTTCTCTACAAGGTTGATAATATCTCTTCATTGGTGTCAAAAAATAAGCCCAATATGGTTTCCTTGGACAAAGAGGTATCATTCAGTTAGGTGCATCGCAAGAAATTTAAAAAATGACTTTGTGCTTGATAAATCTAATCACGGTCCTGTTTTAGTCCACGACTAAATAAAGAATTAAATAAATACAGTAAACCGAGAATCTGGAAGCTTGAATTAGCAGCACATAGTGTGCAGTTATTTAAACCACGTTTGGTCCCGTCTGCTGTGCTTTTTTATTTACTGATGTAGGTTGGTACACACCGAAGAGTTTACAGAATAACTATTTACTCCAATTTATGACTACACAGTTCCATAATTTGATCTCCACCCAAAACCGATGAATAACATTCCACAAGACAAGATGAGGAAAAGTATTTCTTAACTTTCCATTGAGTGGATCGCTGTCCAACCCGCCACAATAATGTCCATTGATCCGGAGTGAAGATAGACAAGATAGACAGCTGTTTCATCCTGTTTGGGACTAGTCAGCAGTGCGTACTTTTTGTGTCCCTGTCAGTATTCGAACTGCGAACGTTCGGGTTGGGACACAAAATGTACGCACTGCTGACGGGTCCCAAACAGGACGAAACAGCTGTCCAGTACTCTTGTCGATTATCGCGAACATTTCTATAGCATGTAAATGCATGAAATTGTGAGGAATGGACGATCTAGTAATGATTGAAACCCAAACCCAATACCATCAAGAGTGCCTGGTGCCTTTGAACAATCAAATGTATTAATCCAAGCTTGCTACTCCAAAATTAGAGGGAACATCCCTTGAATGAATAATACTACTGAACGAGCAGAATTCAGCAACCCGTTCAACTTGTTTATTCATATCGGTGGCACGAGACAGACGTACGGTCTGCACCAGGTCGACTGCACGCTACGATTTGTGTGGGGGGGGGGCAGGGTTGATGGGTNCCACAGAGAAACACCACGATGGTTAGAGGGACGTAAAAAGATGCAACAGCCTGCCGAGACACGTGAGTACGTGAAGGCTCTCGGTTAGGCACGCGTATTCACTGGGCGTTGAGCATACACACGTATGTACATGCACAAGCAGGTAGGTAGGCAGCAGGCAGGCAGACAGGCAGGCAAGCGATTGATTCACGCTATCCTTCTGTATGTAGTTCCCTCACCTATTCTCATGTGCACAGTACGAGAAGAACTCAATGTACCCATGGTCATTCAAGATAAATTCACTTCTTATTTATGGCCCCGGTCACGACCACCACCATAGCCAACACCACCAGAACCAACACTCCGTTCACGGTTTGAGCAAACGTACATGCTGACAAGCTTAATTTTGGCTAGAAAAAAGAATGAACAGGTGGTTTCTGATCTAAACTCAAGACAACGTTCGAGGATCGGAAAGTTTGACGATGGGAGAAAAATGTTTCATGGCATCCTCGGTCAGCATCCGCATCGCCACCACCAGCACTACCACCACCACCACCACCACCACACGCACAAGGCTTCCGCAGCAGAAGTGTCGCATATCTACGTGTATATGAATAAGGAATCAAAAAAAATCTCTAGCTCTGCGCCCTTAAAAAAAGCGATTATGATCCAGTCAATCATAATATTAATCCAAAAATATCGTTCCATCATGATAGTAAAAAAGAAACGTCGTTTCAAGGTTTGTGGGGGGGGGAGGTTGATTTGAAATCATTTTCATGGGTACCAAAATTTGTTCAATCTCAATATACGAATGAATGAGGGAAGAGTGAATAGGCGGAAGAGATAAGTCTGAGTGCGACCGAAAACGGACAGCGAAAATTTCAACCCTTAGATTGTTTCCCTCCATCGTCATCGTCATCATCATCATCATCATCGTCATTACTTTCCACTGTCAGTATTGTTCTTATTATTATTAGTATTTATAGTTGGAGAAACTCCCATAAATTCGAGAATTACCGAAGTTAACTTTGGTGTGCTATTTTGATTGCCCAAACCGTTTCGATTAATATTCCACAAAGCACCGAATGCATAGCCATTATCACGTGATTTGTATATCGCTTTAATATATATAGCTGAAGGTAGAAAAGCGAATGCTATTTAGCCTGCTTAAACCGGATTAACGAAACTCATTTTGGTTTCCTTGTCGAACTGAGCGGGTGGGTGATGGATTTGCAAAATTCCTCGGTGTTTTTCCGGTATTAATACCAATAGCAACTTCTCTGAGGATGAAGCGCTTCCAGTCCAATTTCTCGGCCACCTGAACAGAGAAGAAATGTATTTCTGTATGTTTGATAAATTGATCATTCAAGCTGTTCTGATTTGACATTGATCGAATGGAACAGCCAGTAAATATGGCTTAAAAATAATTCGCAAGAGTTATCCAGGAATTTGTTCATATATGGCAAACATGCTTGTTAGTCTACTTGCGACTTTTCTGGAAGCATTCGGAATGAATACCGTTGTAACTTTTACAATCCGCGAGTGAAATGATTAGGGTTTTTCAGCACAGTTTCCGTTCCAATTCTATATACTAACTCTCGGGTGCCAGTCAACCTGCACAGCTTAGAAAATTTAGCCAAAAACGCTCGACAATATTAACACGATGAAAATTTTTAACATTTGGTCATCATGGGCTTTTACGCGATGCATATCAGGAAAACGTTAAAACTCCAGTCACATTTGTTCATTTACTTATTTGAAAACATGCTAACCAGAAGGCATTTCTCAGCTCGACTGACCCAATGCAAAATGTCCATAATAGTGTTTAAGATGGTTATTTTTGAAATATTTCTTTCTCGTCTACACGAAACTATTACTGTATTCAGTTATGTACCTCTTTGATATTATCTGATATTTATTTTTCGGTGAATTGTTCTATTTGATTTACCGTTTCCCCTGAGTTATCTGTCGTAATGATGAGGTCATTCTACAATGGAGGTTTAGCATGAGTAGGAGATAACGTTGATACTAAATAGACACATTTTATCACGTAATCGATTCATCAGTTTGATCCAAACGGTTCATAGAACTCGCTGGAATTATGCTCGCCTTCTTCGTTTGTCAAGTGCTACTCTACTTTTCACGGCGCGAATGAGATCAGCTTCCTTTTACTTGTTGACCGTTTCTCCAGCTTCGTGCATCTTCTCAGCGTATAACGAATATCTGAGTTGGCACGCATTCCAATACTGCAGTCACATGCGGCTGGTCACATCACGTTCGTTTCTCACCCCCCCCCTCCCGTGCTCCTCCCCCNNNNATTTTCTTTAGTCTCCTTATTCTACACCCCCCCCCATTCCACAACTTCTTCCTTTTAGGTCCCGCATCCAATGATCAGTTATTCTGGTTTAAGATTTTTTTTCCCGAATTGAAAACTATGAAACCGTGTCTTACACTCTGCTTTTCCTTCAACTCTCAACTCCCTTACCATCATGTTCTGGACATGTATCATCTCTAACTGTTTAGCTCTCGCCCGGATGATTTCTTAACCTAAATTCAAACAATCACTTCCGCTTCTCATAATGTTAGCACAGCACTGATATTCTTCCGTAACATCTGCACCAAACTGTTATCTCATAACCTGCTTCCTTTGGCAAGTCGAAATACGGGGATCAAAATGCTGTAGTTGGTTCGGACAGATAAAGCATTTGTGTTGGAACAATACAGGTTAAATCAACTTACCAACTTCGTTTGAAACGGCAACCGCATGCGAATTTGTAAAGTCCTTCGACGGAGGAACCCGTTGTCCCTCTTCATTCGGACTGGGACCCGTTGGGAACGAAGAGAGCTCAGCGGGATTGTAGATCAGCGGATGGGAATAGGCTGACATGGTGTAGTTCAAAGTGGACAATTGAGTGTTCCGGGTTAACCTGGACTCTAGCAGGTAATCCATTTCGGGCCAAATGTATCGTTGTGGACTCAGCTGTGAGTATAAACCCCGGAAAAAATTTTCCCTCTCCAACCCCTAAATTCGCATTTCCTTTAACCACTTTTTGATTGGTTCGCGGAATACGCGTCTCGCGTCTCACGACGAAGCCAATCACAGTGAAACTGAAACAAATGGGGGGTGGGGTGAGGTTGTGAGGTTCAGTTTACCAAATGCGACCTGAATCACATGTGAACCAATCAGAATCGGAGCCGGGAACCACGTAGCGTTTGAGGTCGATCTCCGGGGGTAGCGGGTGTGCAAGGGATGAGGGGAAGTCTTTTAAACGCAATTGGACGTGCTCGCCCGCACACAGTTTGAATGATAACAAAGTGATGCAAACGACAAAAGAAAAACAACTGTGGAAGTTAGGCAGAAGCTCAGTCTTATGTATTTTATGCCACTTGAAGCATGCTTTGCGGTTTCGTTTTGCCATAGCAGGTTTTCGAAAACCGGAAAAAGCGCCAGTTTACACGGTTTTCGAAAAGGAACGTTTTCATCTGTTTGTTTATATTGTGTGACATTTTTTCTCCCTTATCTGCCCTATTTTCTCCAGTAGTATATCATAATTGAAGCATAAGCAAAACTTCCATGTAATTCCGGTGTCATCTTCGCTATTTACCGCATCCCACTGGCATGATAAATAAGCGCAAGAAAATCTGACTGACGATTTCACACACCCGATCTTTAACTATGAGACAAACTGAAAAGATTCGCTTTCATGTGCCACTAATTCGGAACCGATGCGATAGCATATTTAGGAAACATTCACTACAATTCACTCCAATGTCGATTTGCAACGCAAATCAACAGATATTCTGTTTAAAATTCTACGAAAGAGGAGAATACATTTGAAAACTGACGAAGTTAAACAACTACAAACCTGTGTTCAACAATTAATCAAGTAACTAATCTCAAAGTGATTATCAAAGGTGCTGATTTCTCCTGTCGGGTTTTCTACATACCGTACATATCTCACTTCTGAATGATGTCTTCACGTAATCCATGTTATTTGTATAGACCGATGAGGGAGATTGCCATGCGAGAAGGTCAAAGATTGTTTTCTGAACAAATAAATGGAAAAAGTACGCACATAGAATCCCGTCACCCGAGTCAGAATTAAAAAGGAGTGAAATTCAATCAACTTTCGGTGAATACCCGCATCTTATTTGTTTCATTCGTTCCGGGAAAACTTTTCATTTGAAAGTACACTTTTTCTTCTTTTCTCTTCATTTAGGCGATACAGCTGTTAGTTTTGTTTGGAGTAAATTATTTGGTGATGAGCCTGACTTCATTCAGAGTTGATTTACATTTACATGAAACGTTACTTGTTCAGGAATGGCCTGTAAATCACACGCTGACCTAGCGCAACTTTTGACAAGATTCCATTTCGGCCGTATTTCTGTTTGGGGATCCAATGACTGTTCGATAAACCAGAAATTGTATTTCGCGAGATCCGTATACTATGAGAAATCATATTTTCGTCATGTAAAGATCAAATGGAACCGAACGGAAAGGCTTGGACTAATTGGACAGTTGTTTCGACCTGGTTGGGTCTCATCCGTAATGCCCATCCATCGACCCAACTAAAGATCGAACACGGGACATCGCATGCAGAAGGCTAGCATATCATTCACTCAGCCCCCAGATGGCTGATCAGATCGATTTTTTATTTTCCTTACACAGAGCCAATCTTTGCGAGTTTAATGCAGGTATCTCACTGTGCACATCTCTGCCCTAGCCTCCACGATTGTCTATGAGGTCCCGGGATCGATCCCCAGTTGGGTCGATGGATGAGTACTGCGGATGAGACCCAACCAGGTCGAAGCAGTTGTTTAGTGATTCAGTTCATATTTCATTAGCTCTCCACACGGTGAATTTCCCTATAAAATTGAATCAAATCCTCCCATTTTAATAATGAGTGTAGTTTTTCTGAAAGCAACTTTCTGGTTGCAACCACTGTTAACAACAAGATAAGGATGCAGTTGTAGCTTTAGGAATTTTGGAAGAGACTTCTTAAATGTTCCTATATGGGTAACTGAATCGGAGCCAAAAAAACGGCAGAAAATCCGGAAACGTATGGTTGAGATGATGCTCGTCGATGTATGTGTACAAAGTAAAGGGATGGTGAAGTTTATCATTCTATTGAGACACATACGCTTGGATCAACATGCCTTCGAATAGAACATCAGCCCGAAGGAAGAGTTGAGATGAGTGAGGTCAAATACTCGCAACAGATCAGCAAAGAAGGTTATTTGCTGTGTCACATGCAGACAAATTTGGGTAGTCTGATGCATTGACCGACGGTGAAGTGCTTGCGTTCTGTCTGTGAAGTTCCGCGATTTGATTCTCACTCCGGGTCGATGATGAGTTTCCACCGTTCCTGCTGCTGCTGCTGCTGCGAGCCAAGAAGATCAGAACAGCTTAGGTAACAGTCCCAAGCTTTTCAGGTCCACACAAACATACACACAATTCCACCAAGAGAGTTCGCTATTTAATCGAACCAATTTCTCGATTGCTCTTCGGGGTCAATTTTTATGAAGTTTTAGGTAACTTGGATTCTTTGGACAGAGTTTTGGCAAAACTATCTTGTAAACGGTGTATACGTAAATCACGATGCCACTCCCATTTTCTGTCCTTGTATATGCTTCTACGAATGTGTGTTTGTGATTAATGCTCATCCGTGCGGTGTGAATCAAAATAAACATATTTTGCGTTTATTTTCGTCGGAATTCACGATGAATTTTCCGGCTACCATCTGTTGTCTGTAATTCGTTAACCACAATCAACAGTCGGAAATGTGCTCCTTTATAACGTGGATTGGTTACTCTCGTTTGACTGTCGAGCACGAAACCGATGTCGATAATTGGAGGAAACGATGATTCCGTAATAATACATGGACTATGCTTGTACGCACGTGTGTGTGTGTGTGTGTGTGTGTGTGTAAACTCCAGTAAATATTCGATTTCCGCCGTACAAATAATTACTGTCCTATTAGTGAGCAGAGATATTGATGATCAAGTAGTTTTCAGTAAGATAGAATAAAATTAACTTTTTGTCAGCACTAAAAATCAAGCAATCTGTTTATGAAAATTGTTCAGTTTCAATAGGGTAACGTTCATGTGCAACGCACTGTTACTGTTGTTCACTGACTGGGTGCACTGAACAAGGGATAACATAAATCTCTCAAGTTGGGAGGGGGCAGACTGGGACAATTCGTCTGATCTGTTTTCGTGACTTGCCAAATAAATCAGTTTGAAGTAAGTTATTCATCACTGACTTGTCGATACAGACGAAATTATGCAGAATTAAAAGAGGAATTAGGAGAGGACGTCTCAATGTGCAGCCTGCTTGAACCAGAGGGGTGGGTGACATCAATCAAACGTTTCTTGATGTTCAGCTAGACAAAGATTGTCCGTCCTTCCTGAAATGTTTTGCTCTCACCGTTGCACTATCACCGTTTTCGATTCATGGATCCAAATTTTCCAGAACAGACTTATTTGTACCTAGTAGAAATACTGTCATCTATCCACTCACCCCGGTCCAGCCCAATTTCATCTGAAATCCTTTAGTTGTTGTTGTCGTTGCTGTTATAGCCGTGGATCACATAATGACTACGGGTGGGTGGACGGATGGATGAATCGTAAAAAGAACCGGTGCTTGTGTAACAAACACACTGTTATAGGAGTTCTCGGACATGGCAACTGTTTCTCATTTAGGCTAGCCCTGGGGTTAATTTATTTTCGAGGACTTGTCGAGTGCACGTGGGAAAGAGACACTCCATCCGCTCACCGACCGCAACACACAAAGAAGTGTGTGTGTGTGGGGGGGGAGCTCGATGCATTCATGATCGGGATTTGTGTCTACCGATCGGCTCGTCGCAATCCGAATGACAAGATAGCGTTATATCTGAGCAGCCAGGTTACTGAGCTCATTTTGATCGTCATCAACACAAGCCAATAAAATACTCGGCAACAAGAAGATACTTATCACCGCACTGACTCACGTCGGGACCGAAAGATGACGATGCACCGAACACTGAGGTGAGCACAACACCTGGAGGATTGGTAGCCAGATAACATCTTTAGGTTATATAACAGTCACACAAATGAACTGTGGTTTGTTACAATCTGACCCGGACAAATACCTATAATACCGACAGTTATCTTGTGACACTGTAAAAGGATTGCCTAGGTAAATAGAAGAGAAATTGGTACCTTGATGTGAATCACTTACTGTAAGGTTAATCCAACATACATAACACTACAACTGGTCATCATACGAATGCGCAATGCAAGCTAGAAAATGCTGTCTAATTAGGGGGTGGGATAATTTGGCTGTTCCCATTCAGTACGTGAGAGATCAGCTCGAGCTCTCTCTGTATTGTACTGTTGAACTTCGGAGCGGTTCACCAGCCTAAAAATAAATGTGAGCGATACGCTAAAAGTTACCAGACAGGGGGCTTAGCAGATCTGAAATGAAGTGAAGCATCCAAACAATCGATTACACAAATTTAAAATTTACCGACAATAGTTGGTTTTCATGTGAGTGGTTTTGGCACGGCTGTTAAACTTCAGCCGTGCTTATTATTAGAAAATATTCGTTTCATGGATTCGAGTGGACCGTGTCGTGTGGTTCGTCTCAAGCACGATTCTCGGATAGAAGAACAATAGTTTCTTGTTATCTCNCATCACGTCCTGTTGCGCGAGAAGTTCACTTTTGCTGCTGTCACGGATTTCATTCGAAATCGCTTCCAAATGAAGGAGCAGGAGGTTCTAGGTGGGCAAACAAACACCGAACTGGTTAGCAAGTCACCCTGATGACAGGAGTGCTTAACAAAAGGAGTGTCCCAGTTATGTGTCCTAGCAACGCTCGCTAGCTATTCGACAAGTTTGACAATATTATGATTATTCTTTTAAATCTGGGAGCCTTTTTTCCTATGTCACTTTCGTCATTTTTGTGATAAA